ATTGCAAATACATTATTTTTCTCATCCCATCCCTCAGTCATTGACAGGAATTTTGTAGGCCACCATGCTGTTTACTTTGTGGATTGTAGTAGTGAATGAACGAAGACGAACTTCCTCAGAATTGGTAATGAACTGTGGTCCTGATTCTTCCCACTTTTCAGGTACAACCAAATCTTTATCTGTATAAATCAGCAGATCAAATGAACCTAAATTGGAGATAAAAATACATCAAAGTATATTACTTCTGAAAATATCAACCAACCTTCCCTGTCTCTGTTTTCAACCATCTAGAGTATTAGGTTAGAGTGGGTTTGGTCTCTAAATATTAACCTTTTTTCCCTCAATGAAACTATATTTTAATACAGAATATATTACATTCTGCTAGTTTGACTTAGGAAAAGCTGCAGGTTCTTTTCCTTTCTAAAGAGGAAACCATTAAATATAACAACAAATGTTACTGTCCCATTGGAAAAAAATGATTGCAAACCATAGGAGAGACAACAAGCACACTGGCTTGTTCACTGTGCTATCCTCGTACCCAGGCTGTCTGGTATATAGTAGGCATTCGGTAAATATTTGATGAACGAAGGACTATGATTAAAGAGCAAAACACAGTAACAACTATGATCTTAATTATATAATAAAAATGAACAGAAAATCACAAAAAGGATTATCAGAATGAGTATTATGAATGTTTTCATTTTTTTCAGCATTTCCCAATTTTCTAGAATGCACATATATTACTTTTGTTTTATAATGCTCTCACAATTATATTACAAGAAAAAAAATAAAAGGTCATTCGTCTTTCCCCCATGAAGTTAAATAAATGAGAGATCTTATAAATACTTACAAGAAACTTCCAGCAGTGGCAAAAATGTTACTGTTGCTGTGATCTGTCTTATCACAGAACGAATTTCATCTTGGATAGCTTTCTGAGATTTTTCTCTGGGTGCACTTCAAAGAAACCATACCAATTAATAATGTTTAAAAACCAAACCAGAAACCAGGTTCCAGAAGCAAAAGTACATTTAATTAAGAGCAACAACTACAGTTCGGAGTTTTCAGATAACTATGCTTATGGCAGCATTTACTCACGACTGCTGAGTCCATACTAACTCATTGTGGCTCCACAGGGCAGGGTAGAACTGTCCCAATGAGCTTCTCATGCTGTAACTCTTTAACAGGAGCAGAAAGCCCTATTTTTCTCCAAGGATAATGGTAGATACCAGCCTTTTCGATCCAGGAATCTTGAACCTTCAGACTCTTAGGGACTTTTTATTCATGATTTAGAAGTTTTGGACACTAAAGGAAGTATAGCAGGGCTACTTTGTAAGCAGGATGAGAATAGGAAATCCCTTAAAGTACACTTGGTTAAAGGGCCATTAAGTATAGCTTGAATAGTTTTGCTTTTCCATTGCCATCAAGTGAAATCCAATTCATTGCTAACTGTTTGGGTTTCTGAGGTTGTAAATGTTATAGGAACAGACAGTTTCAACCTTCTCCCTTTGAGCAGTTGGGTTAGAACTGCGGACTACACTCACTTGCAGGGCTCCTAGCACCATAAACACTCAAGCTTAGACTTCAATGAAGTTCAGTGATATAGATCACGGGAAATTGTGGTAGAAAGACTATCTGTACAAATCAACGATATGTCAAAATGAACAAAATTCTTTTCCCAAGGAAATTGAAAATAAAATTAAGTTCATATTAGAAAAAAATTTATCCAATTTATATGACAGTAGTTCCATATATTCAGAACTTATCTAGTAATAAAAATAAGGTTTGAAAACGAGACAGTAAAATTAATTTCATACTTGCCTGTCATCTTTTGCAGTCTTGTCACACTCAATATCAAACTGCCATCTTTCAAGGACTTCACCACTTTCAATATTTGAGATGACCACCACCAGCTTCTGAACCGAACATTTGTACAACCAATCTGTAACACACAACAAAGTATCTTTGATGGCACACTGCACTGCAAAACAACTCTTCTTTTCTGAAGTTTCCCTTCTTATCCGTGGCAAAGTCCTACCAACTTAACACTCTTCCACCTCTTAGGAAATCTGTCTCATTGATAATTTAGCTTATTTTAAATTCTCAATATGTGTACCTAGCACTGAGATGTAGTGCATGCTGTTTTCATCCTCAATTAAGCTAAAACTAAAGGAGATGGGCATTAGTCTAATCAACACATCAACAACTGTGAAATTACAACTGTGAAAAATACCCTAATGATACCTGCTACAAGAGCAGTTAGAGGACTTCCAGGATGATGGCAACGGAGTGACACATACCAGAGTGACTCCGTAGAATCCAGCCCAGGAGAGTTGCTTAGAGAGAAATTCAACACTGCTGGACTACAGGAGGAGCAACATAAAGAAAAGTAGGCACAAGGTTTTGAGGGGCTGGGGGCTTTTGGCTTACGTCAGTGGAGGCCGGCTAGGGATTGACCTTAGCCCCGCCACTGTCTGAGCCAGAGCGGGGACCATTTGGAGCCCATAAGGGGGTTTATTCTCAACACAGCCAGTTTGTCGTTGCCTGCCTCAGGGCAGGGATGAAACGCTTGCAGCTCCATTGGCAGGGATTGGGGTTCAGCTACATTATTACTTTTGTTTCAATCTTTTCTCTCTATCCCCCCACAGTCTTGGTGGGCTGCGCAGGGGCTTTTTCTTAACACAGCCCGTTTGCCACCGCGCCCTCATGGCAGGGACTAAACCCTTGCAGCGGACAGGCAAGGATTGGGGCTCAGCTACATTGTTACTTTTGTTTCCTTCTCTTCTATATATTCCCACAGTCTAAGCAGGCTTACTTAAAATTTTTTTTCTCCTATTGTCTCTTTCCTGTTCTTTCACACTCTACTGCTGACCTCCATACCACTCCCCTTAGCCTAGGGCAATTATACCAGCTCCACACCCAGCTAGGTGAGCTCCACCCTGTGCAGTATAGCATGAGGCTGGGGAAAAGCCCTGCTGACCTCCACCAGGGGGATACTCTGCCCAATTTCAAACCAGGGAATTCCTGCCTGTGTGCCTGGGGGCCTAAGGCAGTTCAGCCAATGCACCTCAATGTTCCAAGCTGTGGCAGGAACCTCTGCCCAACCTCCGCAACACCAAAGCAGGCAACCCATCAGCCTTACAGCCATCAGCCCCAAGGACTTCAACGAACAAAGGAGAAACAAAAGGCAATGGCAGAAGATGTCCTGAACATAACAACATACATAGAAGAAGCAGACATTGAGCTGCCACAGAAAGAAATTTTCAGGATGCTTGGAGTCATACAGGATATGAGGGAAACAATACAGAAAAAGGATGAAATGATAGAGGAGATAAAGGCCATACGCCAAAGGAAAATACAGAAGCTTAGGGAGGAGATAACAACAACCAGTAGCAGAAACACGGACCTCGAGAATCGACTGGAGGAAGCAGAGAACCACATCAGTGACTTGGAGGACAGCCAAGCAGACTTTAACAAACGCAAACAAAAATCCAGTCAGATCATCAGAGAAGCTGAAGAAAACCTAAGAGCTCTGTCTGATGCTATGAAATGGAACAACATTGAAATTATTGGCTTACCAGAGGAAGACACAACAAAGAAGTCATCTGCAACAATAGTGAGAGAATTCTTGGAGGAAAAGTTCCCCAGCTTAATGAATGAAAACCAGGAAACCATTCAGGAGGCTGAAA